AAGAATTTAAGCAAAAAATAAATAAATAAATAAATAAATAAATAAATAAATAAATAAATATTAAAAGTGAGGCCTAGTGGAAAGAAGTTGCATCATTGTGAGTGTGACCTTGAAGGGGATATTGAGACCCTGGTCCCTTCCCCTCTCTCTTTGCTTTCCTGCCACCATAAGGTGAGCAGCCTCCTTTACCACTCATTCCTCCTATAATATTCTTCCTCACCCCAAGCCCAAAAGCAACAGACTGAAACCTCTAAAACTGTGAGCCAAAATAAAACTTTCCTCTTTATAAGTTCATTTATCTCAAGTATTTTTAACAGCAATGGAAAGCTGAATGATACAATATAATATGCTGCTTTGTTACAATAGACCTAGAAAACTAACAAGACCATGTGGAGATATTATTGTGGATTAAAGATGATTACATGTTTCACTTGCTGTTCCCCTCAAGAGGCTAAACTACCCTCTGCATAAGCTGGGGATGACCTTCTGAATTTTGACCCAATGGGCATTTTTAAAAGTGAATCTGTGCCAGTGCCAACTTAAGCCTTAAGAGACTTGGAACTTATGCTTTTACTTTCTTAGAGCTCATATAAAGAGATGCAGCTACCCTGCTACAAAGACTACATGGAGAAGGAGAAAGCAGGGCTATGGGCAAGTGCATAGAGAGAGGTCCAGCTGACTCCTAGTGATCCCACCATCCCAGCTAAAGCATCAGAGGGGAGTGTGATACCATCCTGGATACTTCAATACTGCCAAGTGGGCTTCTGCTGAATGGAGCCCCTCGAACAGTTCCAGCTGACACTATATGGAGACAAACCATTCCTGCCTAGCCTGCCCAAATTGCAGAACTGTAAACAAATAAATAATTGTTGCTTAAAGGCACCATTTAAAATGATGTGTTAGGCATTGATAAGTATCTTATACGGATAACATGCTGCCCTTCAATTGCTCAGAATTTCCACTCTTGGCCCATTATAAGCTTTTCTGGTCAGATTACATTGCTCAAATGTATGTGAATCTCAAAATGCTAATGGTTTTTGAGTCCTTCATAGACCTGTAAAAATGGTGCAAAATACCCCTGTTACTTGGAATTTGGCTTCCAATTGAATTGATGCTATGCATTCATATAATCTACATTTACATTTTCATTCCTCACCTCCATTACTGATTTAGGCAAAGGGCTATAACTATTTCTCAGCAGAGAAAAATGATGTACATAGTTTAAGTTAACTATCTTTTTCCTAACTCCAAGCCAAGAACCACTGCATTAAGAGATTCTGAAATGTGGTTTTAAGAAAATGAAGTAAATGATTTCTGGAAGTGAGACAGGAGTAGGAAAGAGGGAATGCAATAGGGAAGATGAATACCAAGGTCCTGGGCTTGTGGCCATCAGCAGAGAGAGGCACCAGGCACCAAGGGAACTATACAGAAAGTGAAGTTAGAGATTAATTTGCCTATTGAAAAACATGAAAAAATAAATTTAATTAAATAAAAGCACATTTGAAGTAACCCTTGCATTATCTATAAGGAAGAAAAGCTTTTCTTTGTCATCCTTCCCTTTTCCTCTCTGCATGGCTGGATTTGGTCTCAGACATAAATGTTAGGCTACATTTCAACTATATTAATAGCTGGGTCAGTTTTGTACAATATTTCAGCAACATAATCACTATGTATAAGCAGTCAGTTGGAACAACTGCTTTTTCGAGTTTTGGAATAAAGCCCATTTTGAAGCTGGCACTTCTCTCCCTATGTTTCTTGTGACTTCAACTTTTAAGGCAGCAGACAATATCTTAAAAATTGACTCACACTAGAAAGAATATCTTGTGTTCATCAGTTCCATAAACTAGGGATAAACTGAGGCAGTTTTTACCATAAACTCCTGATTTATTTAAAAAGATAATAAAAGACCAACTCATTAGATAGGTAACTTGGCAATTCATTAGTTTCCTTACTCTGTTCTCTAAATGTAGAATAATCTCACTGTACCACTTCATGAGGATCTGTAGATATAACTACTATAACATACCTCCAGTAGATGAGGGAAGACAGTTATTAATGTTCACTATTTAATTTAAGTATAAATTAAATATAGAAGTTTACAAGATAAATACATTTAGAGATGTGTTAATCCAATGAGATAAGAAAACCTACCATGAAGATATATAGAAAGAGAGATTGATATCTATATATATCAGATATATAGAGATATCTATATCTCTTTCTATATATATATATACCTTTTCTCCTAGACTCAATTGAAAATCATGTTTCATACAAGGCTTTTCTTCTTACATTCCTACTTAAAATAATAGTTATCCAACTTTATATTATTTGCAGAATTGATTTTTTGAGATTTAAATTTTGTACACAATTATAGGGAACTACGTGATGTTTAGAAACCTATATAAATTTTATAATGTTTAAATCAGGGTAAATATAGCTCTCTCCTTAAATATTTATCATTTGTTTGTGGTGAAAACATCAAAAATTCTTTTTGCTTTTTTGAAATATATCATACATTATCATTATCTATGGCCTTTCTACTGTGCAATAGCCCGCCAAAATTTATTTGTTCCACCTCACTATAACTTAGCTCACATTTGACAACGTTTTCCCATCCCTTCTTCCCTTGTGAGCTCCCCAGCTTCTGTTAACCACTATTCTCTTCTCAATTTCAATAGATAAACTCCTTTAAATTCCACATATGAAAGAGATTTTGTGGTATTTTTGTGTGAGTGTGTCACACACTGGCAAGTTTCACTTAACATAACAACCTTTATTTCTGTCCATGTTATTGAAAATACAGGATTTTATCCATTTTAATGGCTTGAATGTGTTTCATTGGTATATGCACCACACTTTAAGTGAATTTTTACCTTAATCATTAATGTTTAAATGTTCATTGAGGGGTGTTTTAAAATATGCTCTTTACCATGTTATTAAAATTACTTCCTTTCCATGTTCTGATTGAAGCTGCCGCCTTGCTTTGTTGAAAAGATTTCTAGATTCTAATGTCTTATTAGATACAATGAGAACTTTTTGAGGCTGTGTATTCTCATCTTGTTTTATAGGTAAGCACACTAGAAAGACAGTATCCTAATAAGAGCCCACAGCAAAATTCCATACCATGCAAGGGGGGCTTTATTAGAAACAGAAATGTGTTTCTCACAGTTCTAAAATTAGAATGTCGGTATTATTGGCTTCTGCTGAGGGCCCAATTCCAGTTGCAAGCTACCAATTTCTTGTAGCTTCACAAAATAGAAATTCTGTCTCTTAGAATGACTCATGACCTAACTATTTCCCCAAAGCCACACCTCCTAATAATATCATATTGAGGGTTAGGTGTTTGACATATGAATTTGAAGACATAAACATGTATTCCATAACAGTTGGTAGTGGAGATATCATAAACAAATGCTCTTCCTGTTTGCACTTTTTGGTGGTTCATGAAATCCAGTAGCGTTTTGTATGGAGTCATAGGAAGTGATCTTAGCTTTTGTAGCACAGTGAGGCAGAAAGCATATAGACTTTGTGTTTAAAAAGACACAAGTTCATTTCCTAGCTCTGCTAAATAGGCCTCAAGATTCTGAAGTCTACTAAGGTCTAGCATAGAAATTATTGTCTTAAACTAATTATCTAGTTACATCTTTGTATGCAGAATATGCATCCTTACAAATTGCCTGCTTCCAGAAATTATATTGAGGCTTCTGACGTTGAGAGCCATCTGTTTTTTAAATAAATTAACATAAAAATTACTGAATTCTCTCAGATTCAAATTTTATTCTATATATTTTATTAATTTGCCCCAAAGTTTAGTATTGAATTGCATGATATTAAACTGAAATGTAACTATCCCCGCGTATTAAAACTTGGCAAAATTTGATGCATCATTTTTAACTCTTCCCCTACTCTCATTGCACAATCTTAGTGTCTCCATTTCCCTCCCTTGCTTGTGATCTGTGGGTAGAGGTGGACTAAAGCATGGGGTAGGAGGGGGTCCTACATTCTGGGCTTTCTTTGCTTTTTTTTTCTGGCTTCATCACATATCATACTATCAACACCTAAGTGATCTTTGTGGCATTTTTTTGTTTTGTTTTGTTTTGTTTTGTTGTTTGTTTCTGGTACCGGGGATTGAACTTGGGCCCTTGCACTTGCACAGCGGGAGCCGAAACCACTGAGCTAAATCCCCGGCCCTGTGGCAGTTTTTGAGTTATTCTGCATCTGCATTTTGACAGTGGGAATAATGGTTTTAATGATAGATACTCATTTTCCCAGTAAGAAAACATAGGAATGCAATGTTTTCCTTTACTTTGTAACAGTGGATTATTATTTGTCATTTTTAATGTTATTTTGACTATTTTATCATCAATCATCTTTGATAAACAGACTTTACTCTTTGGCAACACATCTCTCATTCCCTGTTGAGAAATCCTTCTGGGAGGGAGGGCATACCCCTCAGCTGCTGAGGGGCATTGTGTTCCCTTTTACAGACAATGACTTTGTATAGCCAGCATGAGGCCTACTGAGGGCATTAGCTGTTAATGTAAGTAATGTAATAAAGTAATAATGAGCTGCTCATTTGAATGTAGCATACATATTTTTAAAGATTTTGCCTTTTCAAGTAGATAATGAATGGAAGGCAAGAAGTTTAGCTACAGGACTTTGGATAACTGTGATCTTTTAGTGATGATATCTTCTCCTTGGTTGACAGTCATAGCCAATCTGAGTTCATGTGCTCCAGGCCAAAGACCCTGATTATACAGGACACTTTACACAGTGCTGTTTCCTGACATCTTCTTGTGCTGTGATGGAGTAAAGCACAAAGAATCAGGAAAAAATGGAGGGGGAGCTAGCTTGTGGGAAGCAAGCTCAATGAGACGTTGCACTGACCTTCCTGACATCTCAGGATCCTGGCAATAGTAGCATTCTGGTGGCCTCCTGTAGAGATGGGGGTCACTGGTTCCATATCTCTCTCTGCTTGCATGGCTTACAAAGAGTCTGTGTGTGCATGCCGGTGATCCAGGTCATCTGTTTCATATGCTTCCTGTGAAATTGGAAAAAATATGTGGAGCACTCAAGAGGAGCTTAAAATGACTGATGATGTTGTCATGAGTATTGCCTGGGATTGCATATTACCATCACATTTCTCTCTGCTGCATCTCCTACTCATACTGAGAAAGAATTTAAAGTCAAACAGGATAGCTTGTTAGATAGCAGAAATCTGTATTATATTACATGTTAAATCTGATTTTTCTCTATGGGAGAGATAAACTAGAGAAAAAATGAGGGCTTATAACCCAGGCTATCCTTACCAGGACTGATTCTGAAGCAGTTCTACAGTTGGGCACTGTATGTACTCTACCATATTTTCAATATGACAATACTAGCTTATGTATAATGTCGATGTGGTATTTGGTTGTCCTTACGTCCCATGAAGGAGTTAATTTGGTATCATTTTAGCCCAGTGTACAAGTGAAATGGACTTTGAGGGAAAGAGTAAAGCAACAAACTTATTTAAAACATAAAGATGGGTTGGCATCAAACCCTAAGTGGGTCTGACTATGCTCTGGTCACTGGACATTTTCTGAGGATTGATGAACAACGAATAGGAGTTGATGGTCCTTGGCTGAAACTCGGGTCATTAACTTCAACCAGCCATTAATTGCCTGAAAATGTCCTGGGCTGAGGTCATTATTGCTATTATAAGCTGAATTAATGCCCTGTGCTTTAGCCAATAAGATTATTAGTATTATCTTTATTCTCCATTCAATTTATAATTATAAAAATGTACCACAGGCAATCAGACTAGATGATAGATTAATCACATGCAAAATTACATTTTAAATGAATTGTTTTTGATTTACACATCTACACAAAGAATTTGGAGAAGTTGATTTCTTGGTGTTGACATTTATTGAAGTTGACTTACAGTGATACACCCCCGAATCCTTTAGCCCCACTTCCTATCACCGGGGGGAATTCTAGTAACTAAGAGGAAAGAGATCTTCAATCTACAATATGTTGATTCCAGTTTCTAGAAGATGTAATATTTTGCTTTTTTGGCATGGGAAATTAGGATAGGTGTATGTGGGGAAAGCAGAGTAGAATAGGTGTAGTGACAATGTAAAAGTGCGTAAAACCTAAGGCATACATAGTCACAATTGTTTGATTTTAGGTAGTATTATGCAGTTTTACATTTTCATATTCCTTATTTAATTATTCAGTAAAACTCTCAGTTAAGCATCACAGTTTTTATTATTCCATTTCATATAAGAGAAAATTGAGGTCTGAGTTTAAGCAAAGTGCTTTGCATAATATTGTTATAGATTCCCAGAGCTATCCTCAATCCAAAAGTGTTTTCCAATGCTGGTCCAAACCAAACCTCATTAACTTGCTCTGGGATGTTCTTTTAAATTTTTATACTGGAAGTGATTTGATATTATTAATAATTATAAGGATTTCCAGAGATCCCTGTAGTCAGGTTCCAGTACCCACCTGCCCAGTATACAACTCAGGCCTAAGAAAAAGTACACCAAGAGATGAAACTAGGAAAGAAGGTGGAGTGCCAGGATAACCAACGCCGGTACTACTGACAAAGGCACTGGACAGTCCCAGCCACTGACTTTTATTGGCAATCAATTGGGTTAAAGGCGAGCCATGAGTGATTTCTTTGGAAATTAATGTAAACAAGGCTCAAAAAGGACAAGACAAAGAATTCTCTAATTAGAAACAGAGTAGACAAAATAAATGGTTGTAATTAGAACATTGTTCTTCTAGTCAGAAGGTTTTAGTTGTAGGAATAAAATTTGGGTGCTAGTTACTCTGACCTTGGCACATAGGCTTCAGCTAGACTCACTTCTATAAACAAGCCAATTGTGGGGTTAACTCTTCATAGCCTGCTTTGGTCATAATCAATATTATGGTCCTCTGCATAAGAATTACTTAAATATCCATGTTTCAAGATATTTCCAAGCTTTTGAGTTATTTAGAGGCAGAGCACAGAGTTACCAAACAACTGAGCATTTTTATGCTATAAGACCAATTTGCTGTTATATGTTCTCAGAGTCTGAGTATTTGCTTCTTTGGTAAACTGAGCATATTTATTTTAATCTGTAAACCAATGAGGTATAGTTTGTATCTGTGTGATGTTTCTATATTTCTACATTCTAGTTTGCTTCTAGAAAGCTTCTTACTCATAGAAAACCCCTGAAATATAACCAGCATTTTAATAACTTACCACAGCAAGGGGAATAAAAAGGGAAATTCTAAAAAATTCTTTGCTTCCTAGTTAACAAAGAAAATGTTATTTTTACTGGTATATGGATTGGCCTAAGAAGTTACTGGGGTATAATATCAGAAGCAGAGTAAGCCATGGGATTGATTGATTTTTTATGGGGAGGGCCAATGGGAGCTAAATGATATTGTAGGCTAAGTATGAGGAAAATAATATGGTAGTTTTTGTTATAATTATAAAGCTAGTGGAAATAATTGCTTTCTGTCTTGCATACCTGGTGGAGGTGATTATTCCCCCCTTTACTTCTGAACTCCTCTCCTTCTGGTTAACCTCCAGCCAGGCAAAAGGAGCAGGCAAAAAAGACTCAACCCAGTGCCAAGTGGCTGACATAATCTCTAGATGATACATTATTTCAGCAACAGCAACAGTTCAGCAATGGACCAGGGTATGTCTTTTTTTCTCCTTCCTCAAATGAGTCATTGGATCACGTTATAAGATAATGGCTCTGTAGAAGTATTTAACATTCTGAAAGTCAACTGTTGGCAATTGTGACTCTCTCAAAGATCCAGCAGAATGATATCTCAGATCTAGACAAAAGAAACACATGCAGGGAGGGTATACTTTGAAGATCCAGGTGAACATCTTAGCAATTAATGGTTTTCATCTGTAAGATCCCATTATCTCTAAGGTGTTCAGTTGAGTTTGTCCAAGTTCAACTAAAATATTAACAGTGGCATAGATACTACATTGACTAGCTAATAAAAAATTGAAAGCTATTACTTTGATCATTACTACTCGAAACAGAGAGGTTAGATTGATCCAATGAGTTTCAAGAGCTACAGAAATACCACTTTTTTTTTTTTTTTTTTTTTTGGTACCGGGGATTGAACTCAGGTCCTTGTGCCTGCAAAGCAGGCGACCAAACCACTGAGCTAAATCCCCGGCAATACCACTTACAATATCAGCTAAGATTTAATTTCTTACCCATGTTTCTTTCCAATTACATAAAAATTTTATACAGAGGAGTAAACAATCATGGAGAGTGAGGTATGATAATTCTGGTAATAATGCTATGGTCTTGAACTCTTGTTTAAGGCAGGTTAGATATAGTAAATTATATGTCATAATAAATCACTTTTTAATTGGTGCTTATACTGTAAGCCTCTCTCCCTTCTTTGGTTCTAGTTTCAAGGTGTGTTGTAGATGCTTGGGTAAAGGATTTATTAGGTCAATATGATGGGCATAGTCCCCCAAACCTTACTGATATTGGTAAAATTGTTGGACCATGAGAAGCCTGGTATGCTGCAAAGTTTTTCCAGTTATATCTGCTTTAAACATATGCTTCCCCATAAGACAGTCCCCAAATTATCCATGAACTGATTATGAAAAGGAAAGTCCTCTAGAATTTCAAGGAATACCCTTCTAAGAATCTCTTCCATTTTTGGTTTCATTTACACAATGTATTTCTTTAACCAGCACAAATGTTCTAAAAAATGGATGCAAAATAAAGACTAAAAATAAATAAAGACATTTTGCTAATATTAAGCTGACCTATTCTGGGGGAACTACTAAAGAATGGTTTTCAAGTGTAGAAAAATGATTTCAAAAGGAAACTTGAAGGTTGAGAAAGATGTGTAAGGTAACAAAAAGTAGACATGTAGATAAATCAAAATGGTTCTTGAGTCAATAAAACAATGATAAGGCCTCCTAGGAACAGGATACCCATCTGTACTTTGTCTCAGCTGGCTTATTGCTCCAGGGTGTAAAATCCAAGGCAGGCTTCTTTCTGAGTCCCTCAGCTGTGGTACAAGGTGATACAAGTAGATGAGACTCGATCTAGTCCGGGCAGTTTTCCTGAGTCTTGGGGGCCAGTTTGTCCTCAATCATAGGCTTTTGTTGTGCCACACTACCTATCTATGTAATAAACCCACCTCATGTAACTTGTTGCATGCTTAAGTGTTCTGCCTCACAGAACACTTACTATCACAGAAGTAGCAGATATTGCAATTGAAGATGCAGTGAGCCGAAGTATTAATGAGTACACAATGAGCTTAGTTCACAAGCAACCTACAACTATTAAGACAATTACCAAAACTACCAGTGGAATTACGTGAGGCAGCATGTGAAGATTATACTATGTTCTTTTCATATATGCTCTGAGTAAAGCAGCGTTACCTGTGACAGCCTTGTAACAATCCCAAAAGATAGCTAAATATGTTAAAAATACTAAATTAATGAAAACTATTTCATTTTCCACTGCAAATAAATACAATAGCTCCTTTGATAAAATTTCAGCTTCTGTCTGTATGTTGCAAAATGATATTAACCATATGAGTGCATCTCCCAGAGTGGATGGGTCTTAATAAAACATTTGATAACGTTCTAAGAAGTCCTTTACATCAATGGTCTAAAGTGGGGATAGTAAAAAGAAAATATTAGTGTATGAATTTTTATACAGTTCTTTCTATAAACAATAGTTTACTAACATATAATACATATAGATGACTGGGACTATTAGGAAAAATTGGAAACTCTACATGCTTGAGAGAAGCACCTCAGGGTCAATGTTGCTTTCAGAACTCTGTAACACACAACAGTCTGCTTGTTCCTACAGATTAAAATGTTTAGTTTGACCCAAACTAGTAATCACAAAATAGATCAGTGGCTAGCATACCTGAAAACACACCACAAATTGGAGTAATATTAATTATGTGAGCACAAGAAAATACCAAGAAAATGAAGAAATGGATACTTCTTTTATTATAAATACTAGCTTTTTATCAGCCATTATGAAGAAATACACATTAGTG